GCCAACACTTTTTCACACCACTGTATATATATATATATATATATATATTCTATTTATATATATATAAATATATAAAATATATTTTTTAGTTATGGGATTTTTAAAATTATTTATTTTTTATAGCTATTATTTATTTATTGGATTTTTTTTTAATTTAGTTTGTGTCTATTTTTTAGCTATTGGATCTTTTAAAAAATATTTATGTATTTTTTATTTCATTTTTATTTATTTATTCGATTTTCAAAATTATTTGCATTAATATGAACATACACGTGAAGTGGGCTTGATTTTTCTGAACAAATGTGTTGAGTGAATGATTCAAAGATTCACTCCGAATTCTCAAAGGTACTTTTACTGGTTTCCATCTACTGGTGTAACGATGTGACTTTCAGAAAGATTCAATGAATGAATCAGTGAACGATTCTGAACGAGTCTTTTCACTGAACAGTACCAAAAGATTCAGATCACTGGGATGAATCACAATCTGCAGTACCAGCAATTAATGCTCTTTTGTAGTTTGGTCATCGGGGTAAATAGACAATAATGGAAACACAATAATTAAAAATGTCAGGATTTACGTTTCTGAGCTTGTTGAACGCTTGGTTCTTCTTGCCATCATGGTAGGCCAGCAGACTCTGGAGCAGATAGAGCCTCAGAAACAGCACGTCCTCTCCTCCGGTGTGACCCTGAGAGCCAGAAACACATGACATACGCTGTAAACATGTGTGTGTGTGTGTGTGTGTGTGTGTGTGTGTGATGTGAAGCTCAGTGTTCAGATGCTCGTCAGACCTTGATCTGCTGCAGACGGCTCTGCTGCTCTCCGTAGCATCTCTTGAAGCACTCCTCGGCTCGTTCCAGACGCTGTCTGGCGTCGTTCAGACAGTCGAGCTGCTGCAGAGCCTGAAAACACCAAACCACATCCAGCTGCAGCACGGCGTAGTTATCCACCGTCCTCAGCAGCGCCGAGTTACACTTACTGCACAACACACACACATCAACAGGAGAGGAACACAAGCTGATGATTACAGCACAGAGCTGGATCAACGAGTCAATCGAATCACATTCTACAAGTATCAAATAAGTCATATTATAAGAATCAAAGCAGTGGTATTGTATAAGAATCAGAGGCGCTTTATTGTATAAGATATAAATTCTTTCAAAAAATCTAATATGTCATATTCTATAAGAATCAGACCAGCTGCATTCTATAAGAATAAAATGAGCCATATTCCATAAGAATCAAATGAGTCATATTCCATAAGAATCAAATGAGTCATATTCTAAGAATCAAACAATTTGTGTTCTAAAAGAATCAAACATGCCATATTCTACGAGAATCAAAAGTGTCACATTCTGTAAGATTTAAATGAGTCATATTCTAAGAATCAAACAAGATCTATTCTAAAAGAATCAAACACGACACATTCTACAAAAATCAAAGGTGTTACATTCTATAAGAATCAAAGACGTTGTATTCTATAGAATCAAATGAGTCATATTCTAAGAATTAAACTAGTTGTATTCTACAAGAATCAAATGAGTCATATGTTAAGAATCTAACAATTTGTATTCTAAAAGAATCAAACATGCCATATTCTACGAGAATCAAAAGTGTCACATTCTGTAAGATTTAAATGAGTCATATTCTAAGAATCAAACAAGCTGTATTCTAAAAGAATCAAACACGACACATTCTACAAAAATCAAAGGTGTTACATTCTATAAGAATCAAAGACGTTGTATTCTATAGAATCAAATGAGTCATATTCTAAGAATTAAACTAGTTGTATTCTACAAGAATCAAATGAGTCATATGTTAAGAATCAAACAATTTGTATTCTAAAAGAATCAAACCTACCATATTCTACAAGAATCAAAAGTGTCACATTCTTTAAGATTTAAATAAATTGCATTCTACAAGAATAAAATGAATCATAATCTAAGAATAAAAAGAGTTATATTCTACAAGAATCAAATGAGTCATATGTTAAGAATCTAACAATTTGTATTCTAAAAGAATCAAAGGTGTCACATTCTTTAAGATTTAAATAAATTGCATTCTACAAGAATCAAATGAATCATAATCTAAGAATAAAAAGAGTTATATTCTACAAGAATCGAAGGCGTTGTATTCTATAAGAATCAAATGAGTCATACTTTAAGAATCAAACCATTTGTATTCTAAAAGAATCAAAGGTGTCACATTCTATAAGATTTAAATGAGTCATATTCTATAAGAATCAAATGAGTCATATTCCATTAGAATCAACTGAGTCATAATCTAAGAATCAAAAGAGTTGTATTCTACAACAATCAAAAGCGTCGTATTCTATAAGAATCGATGGCATTTTATTCTATAAGACGTAACTGAGTCATATTCAATAGGAGTCAAATGATTCATATTCTCTGAATCAAATGAGTTATAAACTTCAAGATTCGAAGGCGTTGTATTCTACAAGATTTAAATGAGCCATACTCTATAATAATACAACATCAGCTATAGAATCATTTTTCAGCTCAATTTGGTTCAATGTTGATTCAATTCAGTTCAATAACAGCGTCAATGTTGCAAAGTTCAGTATTGAAACAGATCTGAATCAGCTATAACGCAGCTCTTCAGAAGACAGCGCTGATGTCACTGTAATCTTTGCATACTGAACTGTTATTGTACTTTTTGTCCATGCATTTATTTTCATACTGATTGTATTATGATCGTCTTTTTGCATACATACAGCTGTTTATAAGCTGCCACGACGGTGTTTTGTTCTGTTGACAATGGAGAGAAACTGAGCTTGACTTGAGTGAATTCTGAGGTTTGATTGGTTCTCATGCTGTCAGTGATGTTTGATAAAGTCGTACTTGAACTGTTCGTCGGCCTGCAGCAGGTGACACAGAGCGGCGCTGTGGTTCCTCTTCTTCAACAGAGCTCGACCTTTCTCATGGAAACCCATCGCCAGGATCAGAGCCTGACAAGAGGTCAAGACGAGAGAACACAAGACATCAACACACACTAATCATCTCCTCACTGGAGAAATCTTCAGGATGTGAAGCGATCACCTTCCTCTCGCTGTCAGGGATCTGCAGCGGATTTCCTTTCTGATCCGCAATCTCTAAGAACGGGGTGGAGACTGGATCTTCACTCCCGTCTGATGGATACAGAAACGGAAATGATACAATGATTTATTTTCAAAAGCATGATTGCCAATCTTCAGAAGTTGTTGTTTTTAGCCAGTTATAGCAACTAAAACGGAAACAATACAATCAAAGACGATGTATTCTATAAGAATCAAATGAGTCATATGTTAAGAATCAAACAATTTGTGTTCTAAAAGAATCAAAAATGCCACATTCTATAAGATTCAAATGAGTCATATTCCATAAGAATCAAATGAGTCATATTTTAAGAATCAAACAATTTGTATTCTAAAAGAATCAAAGGTGTCACATTCTATAAGAATCAAATGAGTCATATTCCATAAGAATCAAATGAGTCATATTCCATTAAAATCAACAAGATAACAATAAGAATCAAAAGAGTTGTATTCTATAAGAATCGAAGGCATGATTGCCAATCTTCATAAGTTGTTTTTTAGTGAGTTATAGCAACTAAAATGGAAACAATACAATTAAAAATACAGTTAATAACATAGTTAATAAAATAAATAAAATAATATAAAATAAAATATAATAAATAAAACAATAAAACAAACATTTTCCTTAATTGCAAACTGAAATAAAATTAATAAAGTTAATTTAGTTTAACTTGATGTACTAAAATAACTGAAACTTAAATTGAAATAAAAATGTATAAAAACTATATAGACATACTTTATATTAAAATAATAAAAACGACTTAAAATATCAAAACAAAATCACTAACACTTTCAAAAATGGAAATGAAAACAGAAAATATTAATAAAAACTATAAATAATAATAAAAAATAATAAAAATAATGTATATTTATTTATAAAAAAAAAATTATATATATATATTAGTGCTGTCAAATCGATTAATCGCATCCAAAATACGTTTTTGTTTACAAAAAAAGTGTACTGTGTATATTTATCATGCATGTATAAATATATATATATTTTATAAATATTGGCATGTATATATATATATATATATATATATTTATATTCAAATATAATTTATATTATATATAAATATTTATATTTTATATATAAACAAAACATTTTTCTTAAATACACACTGTATGTTTGTGTATTTATATATACGTAATAAATATACACAGTACACACATATATTTTGTAAACAAAAACTTATTTAGGATGCGATTAATCGATTTCACAGCACTAATATATATATCTTTATATGATACAAATATGTTCTATAAACTGTGTATATATATATATATATATAGGAATTGAGTAATATGAATAAGCTATAAGAGGCAGTGGTATATCGGTGTGTGTTTTTCTATGTTGTGTGTATTTAATCTGTAATGCTGAATGACATGCACCTCTCTCCGACAGGATCTGGAAACCCTTCTGCGTCCTCTGCACTCCTTCATCCTGCCTGCTCTTCTTCTCCTCCTCCTCCAGCATCTCGCTCTTCTCCTGCTGCGAGGACACCTTCAGCACCATCATCTTACTGTTGTTCTTCACGTTCTGTTCATCGAGCCTCCTCCCTTCAACCAACACGCCTCGCGTTACAACATGCAGTGATTCAGCCATCTATCAATAAAGCTGGCAGCCGCTTACCTAGAGCCAGCTTCTTCCCAGATAAAATCAGATTGAAGTGTGTGAAGCCGTACTCCGCACTGATCCTTCAAAGCAGAACGCGTTTCCCATCGAACACAGAGGAGGAGCCGTAAACGCAGGAAATGAGTCGATTACATCAGACATGACAAAGAATTAAAAAAATTAAAAATGTAACAAACTTTTTAGCACCGGACGTTATTTCGTTCAATTCTGAGATAAAACGTCAAAATTGCGAAACATAAATGTTCGCAATTTCTCTCAAATCTGACTTTATATTTCACAAGTCTGTTTTTTTTTTCTTGAATAAATAAAAAAAGCTTTTTGTGACTTTATGTTTCACAATTCGGACTTTGTTTCTCGCAATTCTGAGAAAAAGTCAAAATTTAGAAATATAAACTCTAAATTTCTGACTTTTTCCCCCATTAAATTTCAAGTTAATTGCGACTTTTTATCTTAGTGTTTATATCTCACAGTTCTGCATTTTTTCTCAGAACGGCCTGTTTATATCTCACAATTTTATTTTGTTTTGTTTTTTCACGAGAGAATAAAAATAAAACGGTAATAACGTTTTTATCTCACAAATTTCTAATTCCTATTTTTTTTCCTCAGAATGAAAACGTTTCATCTCAGATTCGCACATTTATGTCTCACAATTCTGACTTTTCCCCTCAAAATCATGAGTTTATTTCATCTTGATATTCTGACATTTTCTCAAAATTGCAAGAAACAAAGTCAGAATTGTGAGATAATTAATTCTTTTATTTTTCTATTCCGGGCTTCTATAGAAATGAGCTTCACACTTACTGTTTCTTCAGCTCTTGCACGGTGATGTCCAGCTTGGTTTTTAAATGAACTCTCCTTCTGTTATTCTTAAAGAAAAAACAACAAATCATGAGTTCCTTGATCACACGACGTTCAGTGAATGAATCTGAGGGCATGGGTACCTCTGCTGTCCTGGGCAGGTGGAGCTCCAGCGAGGCCACTGCCGTCTCTTTAAACTGCTTGTTCCCTTCATCTTTCCTGCTGGTGTCTGCTCTGATGCTCTCCAGAGTGAAGATCACCTGCTCCAGAGAGAACTCAGTGGCTGACACGTATTTCTGAGCCAGCTCCTGCACACATGAAGTCAGATAAGACTGTTAAGAGCGCACACGCACACACACACACACACACACACACACACACACACACACACACACACACACACACACACACACTCACACACACACACATGTCTCTCTCTCTCTCTCTCTCTCTCACCCGGATGCTGTGCTGGTCAGAGATGAAGGGCTCCGTCCACAGCTGGACCTGATCCTGTCTGAGCAGAGCGATCAGCACGGACTGCATGTGCTTCTCCTCCATCTCTCCAGACCTCCAGAGATCTTCTGGAGACGAACGCGAAACACCTCCGCTCTTCACACGCTTAGAATCACAGCACGACACTTTTATTGCATATTTCTACATGTACATGTATGTGTGTGTGTTGTTAATGTCAGATCCCTGCGCTGTGCTTAAAGATATTGTTCAAAGTGAAGAACGTCTCACCGACGCTGCGCTGCGAACACGTGATGTTGTTATTGTTTTCTTCCTGATTCTCGGCCACTTCCGGTTGCACACGTCATTTTTGTGTGCTTTTAGCTCCTCCTACTGGACTGGGGATGAAGTGTTTGCTAGATTATATAATTTATTTCTAGATTGTACATTAAAACAGTATGTGTATAAAATATTAAAATGTATATTTTGAATAATTTATATTTTTTTATTTACAACTCTGTTTTATCTGAAGCTACACAAAGGAAAAATGCAAATATAAGCGCTCGTTCCCCAGACTTCACATGACTAACTTAAATAATTAGGTATATATCCAGCTAAAAGTGTGTTAGATTGATTATTCCTATGATTTTTGCTCAGTAGAAAAACAATCCATTGTTCTTTTTTTTTTTTTTGGGTGTATATTGAAAAATTGTTAGATTTACTAGAACAAAAAATATATATGCATGTACTGTATTATTCCAATAAAATGTATTTATTATTATGTTAATTTAATTTAATTTAGTTTAATTTATTTTATTTTACTTAATTTTAATTTAATTTAATTTTGTATAATTTATTTTTAATTTAATTTATTTTTAATTTAATTTAATTTAATTTTATTTTACTTAATTTTATTTAATTTGACTTCATTTTAATTTGATTTAATTTTACTTTATTTTATTTTAATTTATTTTTTATTATTTTATTTTATTTTTCTTAATTTTAATTTAATTTAATTTTGTATGATTTATTTTTAATTTAATTTAATTTATTTTTAATTTTATTTAATTTTATTTTACTTACTTTTATTTAATTCTACTTAATTTTATTTTATTTGAATTTTATAAATTTTTTATTATTTTATTTATTTTTTATTATTTTATTTTATTTTTCTTGTACAACCTTTTCTTCATGAAAGTTCCACATGCAGAAGTAGAAATGGTCCGGTCCAGTCTTTGATTAATAAATGGTTGTTATGTTCACTCTGGCGTTTATGAGTATAAATTTATATATTTTTGTCTACTGTTACTTGTTCTAAAAAAAATCCTTGATTCATTTAATATAAATGAATGTATGCTAATATATATAATTACAGCGAGATCAATATTTATTTATATAAATATTGGCATTGTTCTTGCATTATACACACTGAAAATACAGATGTGTAAGACTTATTTCCAAACAATTTTCACTCAGATATTGCTAGTAAATTTCACAAAAATACAAAGAAATGGCAAAACATTGAATTTCAAGACTGAAACAGTATGCTCTTATAAAACATACTACAATAATCTTTCTTTTATTTACAATTCACAATACAAATATTGATCTGGCGATTAGTGATTGTGCAAACTATGCAAACCAACAATTAGTTATATGATGCAAATGCAACCGGTGACTCTTGTTTCATGAATAGTCTGCAGTAACGCCATGTCTGATGTGTTTTAAATCAATGCATATCAATATATAACAATATACACATGCATGAATATCATCCAACACCATCAATAATCAAACACAGCCGTTTATCTGTCAGTGTCACGCTAGAAAGCCACACGAAACAGCCATTGTTTTTGCTTTCAGCTCATTTCTACAGAATTCTACCGGTGGAAAACAAAGAAAAGTATCAAATGACGAAATGTAACATTTATGGAATGTCCTTATAATCTTATTAATATTTGATAAACATTACGCAATCAACATTCTAGAACTTCCTAATGTTTTTTGCACTTGATGAACGTTCTAAGAAACGTTATTTTGTAACCTTTACATAACATTCTAATCACGAGAAGAATCTGGACATTTAAATGCTCTTAGAATAGAATATTGGTTCCAGATGTTTTCACCCTCCTTTTCTTCTCTCTCCCTCTCTGCTCGCCCTCCCTGTACAGCGCAATGTTGTCTTTTTAAGATTCCCCCCTCCTCCATCTGATCTCTCTCTCGTATTATGTTTTAATATCTCTTACTCATATTCAAGGTACGCATGCGCACATGTATGCATTAGCTTTTCTGAGTTCAAATGTTCAAACGAGGACACGATAGCTAGGACTCCAAGGTAAAGGGGTTCGTGCTGAACTATGGAGATAGCTCAGCATCCTTCGCCAAGTTTATTCCTAATATGTCCATATTTTCCTGTACATGTGGCCATTTTATATAACACATATTCTTGGCCAAAATCCTATATGTATGTCATCTACAGTGGGTACGGAAAGTATTCAGACCCCCTTAAATTTTTCACTCTTTGTTATATTGCAGCCATTTGCTAAAATCATTTAAGTTAATTTTTTTTCCTCATTAATGTACACACAGCACCCCATATTGACAGAAAAACACAGAATTGTTGACATTTTTGCAGATTTATTAAAAAAGAAAAACTGAAATATCACACGGTCCTAAGTATTCAGACCCTTTGCTCAGTATTTAGTAGAAGCACCCTTTTGATCGAATACAGCCATGAGTCTTTTTGGGAAAGACGCAACAAGTTTTTCACACCTGGATTTAGGGATCCTCTGCCATTCCTCCTTGCAGAGCCTCTCCAGTTCTGTCAGGTTGGATAGTAAACGTTGGTGGACAGCCATTTTTAGGTCTCTCCAGAGATGCTCAATTGGGTTTAAGTCAGGGCTCTGGCTGGGCCATTCAAGAACAGTCACAGAGTTGTTGTGAAGCCACTCCTTCATTATTTTAGCTGTGTGCTTAGGGTCATTGTCTTGTTGGAAGATAAACCTTCGGCCCAGTCTGAGGTCCTGAGCACTCGGGAGAAGGTTTTCGTCCAGGATATCCCTGTACTTGGCCACATTCATCTTTCCCTCGATTGCAACCAGTCGTCCTGTCCCTGCAGCTGAAAAACACCCCCACAGCATGATGCCGCCACCACCATGCTTCACTGTTGGGACTGTATTGGACAGGTGATGAGCAGTGCCTGGTTTTCTCCACACATACCGCTTAGAATTAAGGCCAAAAAGTTCTATCTTGGCCTCATCCGACCAGAGAATCTTATTTCTCACCATCTCACAACTCCATGCGGGCTTTCATGTGTCTTGCACGGAGGAGAGGCTTCCGTCGGGCCACTCTGCCATAAAGCCCCGACTGGTGGAGGGCTGCAGTGATGGTTGACTTTCTACAACTTTCTCCCATCTCCCGACTGCATCTCTGGAGCTCAGCCACACTGATCTTTGGGTTCTTCTTTACCTCTCTCACCAAGGCTCTTCGCCCCCGATAGCTCAGTTTGGCCGGACAGCCAGCTCTAGGAAGGGTTCTGGTCAATGCATGAATATCATCCAACACCATCAATAATCAAACACAGTGTCTGTTATCTGTCAGTGTCACGCTAGAAAGCCACACGAAACAGCCATTGTTTTTGCTTTCAGCTCATTTCTACAGAATTCTACCGGTGGAAAACAAAGAAAAGTATCAAATGACGAAATGTAACATTTATGGAATGTCCTTATAATCTTATTAATATTTGATAAACATTACGCAATCAACATTCTAGAACTTCCTAATGTTTTTTGCACTTGATGAACGTTCTAAGAAACGTTATTTTGTAACCTTTACATAACATTCTAATCACGAGAAGAATCTGGACATTTAAATGCTCTTAGAATAGAATATTGGTTCCAGATGTTTTCACCCTCCTTTTCTTCTCTCTCCCTCTCTGCTCGCCCTCCCTGTACAGCGCAATGTTGTCTTTTTAAGATTCCCCCCTCCTCCATCTGATCTCTCTCTCGTATTATGTTTTAATATCTCTTACTCATATTCAAGGTACGCATGCGCACATGTATGCATTAGCTTTTCTGAGTTCAAATGTTCAAACGAGGACACGATAGCTAGGACTCCAAGGTAAAGGGGTTCGTGCTGAACTATGGAGATAGCTCAGCATCCTTCGCCAAGTTTATTCCTAATATGTCCATATTTTCCTGTACATGTGGCCATTTTATATAACACATATTCTTGGCCAAAATCCTATATGTATGAAAAATGTCAACAATTCTGTGTTTTTCTGTCAATATGGGGTGCTGTGTGTACATTAATGAGGAAAAAAATGTACTTAAATGATTTTAGCAAATGGCTGCAATATAACAAAGAGTGAAAAATTTAAGGGGGTCTGAATACTTTCCGTACCCACTGTATATCCTCATTGGTTAAAGGGCTGAAACTCCCCTCGACATATGTCTATATAATATCTTTGTATCAGAATCTTAGAATACCATTGAATGTGTGTTTTCTTGCTTCCCGGCCGTTATACACTTTAAGGGACTGAGAATTTTCCAGGTGGCAAAGAGAATCTATAGGGACTGATTGTTAATTACTGACACTAACGTTACGAAAACAATATTTCTGAATGTTCAAAATATCCATGTTTTAAAAACATTTTTTCTTGGTTATACAGACACATTCCATTTGATCATTTAGCAAACATTATGGGAACGCTACTTTCGAATCTTTATAAAGTAGCTACACTTAAAAAAAAACGCTAGACGAACGTCCAACTAAAATTGTTCCATGAATGATGTTTTTTTGCTAATGTTTCGAGAACAGCAGATAACTTTGAAGGCCCATCCTGTTAATGGTTTCTTGGTTAGAGCGAGGCGTAGAGGCCCAGTCTCCTGGCCGTCTCTGATTTCCTCAGGCTCTTCCTCTGGGAAGGGAAGGGGTAATATTTGGAGCCTGCAGGTGTGGAGCGATAGCTCAGCTGACGGGACAAAACCGCCGGAGCTGAGAACTTCCGAGAGTTCAGGCCGATCTTCAGATGCTGGTCTCCAGGGCTCCAGGGTTCTGCCTCTGAGCTGGCGCTGTGGCTTCTGTGTTCGGTTTCATCAGTCGTGTGTTTCATACGGTGCGTGTCCAGATGTGAGCGCCACAGGCCGCTGTCAGAATCCACCACAGACTCAAACAGGCTTTCTGGGGCTTTTGTTAAAGGAGAGCGTTTGATTTGACGCACGGGAACCACGTCCACTAGACTTCTGCCACTTATCTCTTCACTGTCTTGTGCTGTAGAGGAACACAAGGTGACAATAAAAATGTATAATAAAAAATACAATTAATAAAAATTTATAAA